TTTAGAGGTGTCCTGAATTGATATTTCAGAGGTGATTACTTCTGAAACTTGAAAAATGTGTTCCATAAAAGAATCCATTTCCCGTCCCCTTTTTTCCTTCCCTTTTTTCCCTGTTCTCCCCCTTCTCTTCTGTCCCTTTTCCCACATTAAATTCCCCACTAGCGAATGCCAGTGAGCAAGACTGTAGAATGCCATAGTTTTTCTCTGTTCGTACAGTTACACACAGGGCATTTGTACACGGGCTGATGACCATATTGATGATCAGTATGACCATATCGATGACCATTTACTTTGTGCGTGCTTTTATTGTAGCTTTTTCCTCATGACAAAACACTTATGAGAAACATCCTAATATATCAAGTCCTTATTTTCTGGCACTTCTAATTATAGGTGATAGATTAATGGAAATCAAATGGCTAAGCTGGAGTACATGTATTTGAAATTTTAATAAAGTTACCAGATCTGTTCTCAAAAAGGCTGTCACAACTTATAATCTAATAGCATGAGTCCTTATTCCTATTCATCAACAATAGGTATTATTATAGCCTTATAATTTTGTGACTGTTGCATATAAAGTAGTACCTATTACCTGATTTTACGTTTTCCTGACCAGTAAATTTGTACAACTTTTCATGTTTGGGTTTTTTTGGGAAGAGGGGGCATTTGAATTTGTTGCTCCCTAAATTTGGTTATCATATCTTTTGCTGTTTTCTTTTGGGTGGTTATATTCTTGTCATTTTGAAAGAGATTTTTGTAAATTAGAACTGTAAACAGTTTGACTCTTGTTATATCTTTCTTCACATCTATCATTTGACTGTTTGCTAGCAGCTGGGTTGTTGTTTGTTTTTTGTTTGTCATTCTATTTTGTTCTTAAATTTAACTTTTTATTCTGAAATATTTTTGGAATTACAGAAAACTTGCAGAAATAGTTCAGAATTCCCATGTACTCCTCACCCGTGCATTTTACCTTCTGCAGTGTGAGGCTCTATTGTTAATATTGTTATATTGTTAATCTTCCAGTTGCAACGTTCAAACCTAGTTAGATAAAGTCTCCTCTGGTCCTAAATTGTACTGTAGTTGCCTAGATTTCTTACGAGATTTTGATTTAAGTTTTTATATTTTCTTTAATCTCTTAAATTTATCTTGGCATTTAGTGTAATATTGAGATCCAGTTTTATTTTCTTCCAGATGAAAAGGCGTTTTTCAATGGCACCATTAAATTTTTCATTTCCCACTGACTTTTCATTTCCCACTGAATAATACCCTTGCAACTGGAATCCATTTCTAGATTTCTACTACAAAGTCTGCTACAGTTTTGAGATTGCATGACATCTGTATATACGTTTGGGAAAACTGACATCTTAACAAAATTGAGTCTTCCGTGAATTCAGTATATCTGTCCTTTATTTAGTTATTTAATAATACTTATAGTTTTCAGTGTACAGATTTTTTTTAAATCTCAAGTCTTAGTGAGCTGTTACAAGTATGTGAAGTATAACTGATTTTGCATATTGATTTTGGATGCTGCACTTTTGTGAATCACACTAATTCTAGTAACACGTCTTACTCCTTTTTTTTGTCCCCTTTCCCTCCCCCTATCTCTTGATCCCCTTCCCATGTAAGAAAGATCTGTCTCGCTACATCTGATCATCTTTTATTTTGCTTTTTATTTATAATTTGGGTTTCTTGTATAAGAAAGCCAGATAATATTTAAGCTTGTGTGTCTGATTTATTTCATTTACATCATGGTCTCAAGGTACCTCTATTTTTCTACAACCAAGTTTATCTTTATGGCAGAGTAGACACAATTGTGTATGAATACACAATTTTCTTTAGCCATTCATCTGTCAGTGGACATACAGGCTGCTTCCAAGATGTAGCTATTATCAGTTGTGCTGCTGTAAACATGGGGATGCGTGTATCACTCTAATATGATGTTTTGTAACTCTTTCAAGAAGATGCCTACAAGGAAAATAGATTAGTCAAATGAAATTCCTAGTTTTAGTTTTCTGAGGCATCTCCACAGTGGTTGTACTAGTTTACATCCCCAACAACAGTGTAGAAGAGTTCCTTTTTCCCCCACAGCCTCGCCAGCATTTGTTATTATTTGATTTCTTGATCATAGCTCTTCTTTCTGGAATAAATTGGAATCTCAGTGTTGTTTTAATTTTTATTTCTGTAATGGCCACTAATACTCAGTGTGTCTCATATGTTTATTTATTGGCCATTTGTGCTTTTTCTTCTGTGAAGTGTCTGTTCACTTGTCCATTTGTTGGCTGGTCTTTTATTTTGGGTGGTCTAATTTTTTGAGGTCTGAGGAATAGCTGGCAAAAAACATTTTCCCTGTTCTGTAGGTCATCTTTTCACTCTTACCTATTTCTTTTGTTGATTCTCAGTACTATTTCCTGTGCAACTGGGGTTCTGTTCAGAAAGTCTTTGCCTAACTTGTGACTTCACAAGACTTCTGCCTATTTTATCGTCCAGCAGATTGTTTCTGTTTTAACATTTAGTTCTCTGACCCACTTTGATTATAGTATAGTGCCTGGTGAGAGTTACAAGTCTAGATTCAATATTCAACGTGTGGGTAGCCAGTTTGCCTAACACTATTTAGTAAAGAGGTTTCTGTCCTGTTTACTGTCTCTGGGTTTGTTCATTTTGGACATTTCGTATGAAGGGAATCATAAAATGTGGCCTCAGCACTCTCAAGGATCATCCACAGAGCACCACTATCACTTCACTCTGTTATGGCTGAGTAATTATTATGTGGCCATAACATATTTTTGTTTATGCGTTCATCAGTTGATGGACGTTTGCTTCTTCTTTGGGGCTATTATAAATAACACTGCTATGAATGTGTATGAACATAGTTTTCTGTTTGAACGTAGGTTTTGTTTTCTTGAGTGCAACACCTAAGAGTTTTGGAATTGTTAGATCCAGCAAATGGAAAATGGCAGTGGTGTTTACCTTTTTGAGGAATTGTTTCTCAAAGCAGCTGCCGTATTGTACATTCCTGTCAGTAGTATACATGGTTTTTAATTTCTCATTCTTACCAATACTCTATTGTCTTTTTCACTGTAGCCATTCTGACAAAATGTTTACCTCTGTTTTGGCATATGTATGAGTTAGGGTTGAGATTGTGTTTACTGAAATACTCCGTCCAACCCACTGCTTAATCACAGCAAGTAGTGGTTCATGTTTTACAGGTAAGATATAAGTAAAAGAATTCAAATAGGGAATAAGATTAAATTTGCAGCTATTTTTGGATATAACTTAGGGCTCTTTGGTTGTTTTTGTGTGTGTGTGCTGGGAATTGAACTCAGGACCTCATCCTTGCCAGGTAAGCGCTGTGCCACTGAGCTATATCCCTGGCCCAGGGCACTTTTAAAACTTTAAGAGACGCAAGCATGGTGGTGCATGCCCATAACCTCAGCTCTGGGGAGGCTGAGGCAGGAGGATCAGTGCAAGTTCAAACCAGCCTGGGTTACATAGTTAAAGGCCAACTTGAACTATATTATAGCAAAACTCTAAAGAAAGGTAGAAAAGCAATCCAAGTTGCTTTGGAAGCCTGCAGTCTGGCTGCCTGCTGTACAGTGTTGTGTACCCGCAGTGACAGTGGGTGAGGCTTTGTAGGGCTCAGGATACCAGAGAGTCTACAGGAAGGCCATTCAGTCTTCCTGAGCTCTTCCTTCTCATCAACCAGAGACTATTTCAAAAACTCGCGTAGATTTTTAAAAACATTGTTTTACTAACTCAAAAAGGCCCATTTAACACCTGTGACCCTGGGACATTTCACCAATTTTTTTTTTCCACTAGAGACTCTTCTAGTTGGTGTTACTGGTGAGTTTTTCCAAATTAGTCATAAGTTCATTGAAAGCAGGAGTTATCACCCCCAGGGCTTCAGAGGGTGAACACTCATTCGGCGCACTTAGAGAGGTATGCACTGCAGACGTGAGTCACTGTACGCTCCAGCGCATTGGCCAACAGGGCAGAAGTTCCAACCTGTTGAATCACAGGAGCTCTGTTGAGGTTCCTGGACTCAAAGATTCCCAAGTGACTCTATGCAAACATTTTAGGAATGACTGAGAAATGGCGCATCATCACAAATGTCTCTGACAGAAACTTACCTAATTTGACCTCTGGAAACAAGAGCACTTTTGAAGGCACCCTGTCCTCTAGTTGCATTCATTCAGCAAACATTTGCTGAGCACCCTCCAACCTGTGCCTAGGCTCTGAATATGCAGCAGGTAGTACGCTGGCTCAGCCTCAAAACAATGACAAGTCGGGAAAGAAAGAGCTTGCTATTGTGAACAGTCTGAAGCTCAGCCTGTAGCTAATCTTTAGCTCTCATAACCTGACCAGTTCCCAGGATATGGCGCCAAAGCTCAAGGGCCGGCCAATTAGCTAGCTAATACTGTTTCCACTGGAAGGTCCTTAATGTGCATGTTACCCAGGATAAATACACAGATGTCTGTAATATGTCAAGAGTTTTCTTACCCTTTTCTAACAACATGGCAGCTGGCAATCATTACATTTAGAGGAAGAAAGCAATCATCACCCATTGCCTGGCGATGGGGATGGATCTCTAGGCAATGAGAAGTGCACCGTTGGTGACTGCTGTGTGAACACCGCGGTGTATGCACACACGCTGAGCCACATAACCCGGGAGGCCGCCACCGGGTGTGGGTTACGCTGCCCCGCGCTTTACTTTTATAAAATGTAATGACACGAAAAAGGACAAGCTGTATCTTGCAGACTAAAGGACTCACTATAGTAGATTTTCACTCACAAAGAACCGTTTGAAAGAAGAACTGGTACACTTTGAAAAGTTACCATTTACATGACAACTTTGCAAATATTCTGTAATTGTAAAAGATAAAAAAATAGTGACTATGGAAACAAAGTGATACTAATCTTTCATCATCACTTTTAAATGAACAGGAAGATCCTCCCCAAAAGGGGAATTGACCATAGACTACAGGGATAAATAGCTGTACACTGACTTAGGACCTTAATGTTTTATTGCAAGAAATACCTTTTCTTAGCCAGTTAACAAGTTTGCAATGTAAGTTCTTCATGGTCCTTTTTACAATAAAGCAATAAATATAAACACAGGAAACAAAGGCAGAGGGGGACATTTAAGTGGGAAAAACATGAAGGTGACAATTCAGACAAATGTAGGCTTAGTTGCTTTTACATAGTGGTTATTTTGCTTATCTAAGCAATATATAAGAAAGTTTTTTTAATACAAAAAGTGGTAGAAACTTTTGGCAATTTTTATTCTTAATCATTAGGTAATGTATCCATTATTAGAAAAAATAAGTTCCTCTTACAGCGCTAAATTTAATAGATTATAATAGACTTCAGAGTTGCATCATGTTTTAACTGATAAAATCTACTAGAATTATAAAATGGGTTACTTCCGACGTAAAGTGACATAAAAATCACTGTTAACAATTTTCAGTTTTAAAAGAGAACTTTAAAGGAATTTATTTCCATCAAAGCTTAAGAGGACTCCATAAGCCTAAACAAATGCTGTTTAACTTAAATATTAAACAGGTAAGTTATCCAAACAAAAGGTGTGCTATAAATTAAAATGTATTTTTAACATGTCCCTAGTATATTTATTAAATATAAAGATATGGTTCTGGTATATAAGAAAATATTTACAACTAATCAAAGGCAGATTATAGAATACACGCGTTCTATGTATAAAAGTTAGTAGAACGTCTCTCACAGTCAGGCCAAGGGATTTTTGTAATCCAGGTTTAATCCGTGCAACTCTATTACAGTACCGCTTCACGGGCATTGCTGGAACGCGTACATGCGTGGGAGGAGTGCATCAATAATCTCGAGTTAGAGCTCATACTGTTTTTTTAGGGCTTGTACATCTTCTAAAGTAAAATGCTCGTTTGGTGTGTCTGAAAGATCATCCAGCAGCCGTTCGATTTGCTCCTTTTGGCTCTTGCTAATGAGTGTCAGCATCATCTGAAAGGAAGAAAAAGTTATGTGAGCGTAAATCACACTTTTAAAGTTGTAGAGAGCCTGAAGAAAAACCTGTATCTATGAATAAAATACTTCGCCCCTTACCTTAAACCTATCTGCTTTACTTAGATACAGAAGATGCTGATACACCAAGGCGGGATCTTTATCAATAAGATGATTCCTCAGAGACTGAATCAGGAGAAGGAATATGTCCCCTTCGAGTTTGTTACTCAACAGAACTGGCAGATCCTTTGGTGCAGTGAGGGCCAAAAGGTGTGCACAGGCTTCTTCATCTTTCCTGGTACTGACAGCGTTTATAATCTGACCAAACTCGTAGGCGTTGCTGGGCTTGGAGATACAAAGTGGCTCAGAGCGTTCTGGGGGCACAGTGCTTTCACTGCTCTTCTCAGGAGCCAGGCAGGCAGTGGGAACCTCCTCTGGGTTTTCTCGGGGCTCCTCTTCACTGCCTTCATTCACCTTCATAGGAAAAAAATGACACTGTGACTCTGCCTGACAGTCACCTCAGTATCCTGTTACGTGTGTCAGAACGGGACCTGAAAACCGCAGGGTGACTACTTTAATCACATTCTAAGTGAAAAATCTAATTTGTTACAGATTATAAAATCTTCAGTTTCTTTAGGAAAATTTTTAGGTTTTAAGAGCCCTGTTCATAAAAGTATATTCTGTAAAGTTGTTACAAAATCATTTTACATTGAAAATTTAGCAAAATTTTATTTTACAACTTTCCATAAATAAAAAAAATTCACAAAGGAGGACCTATAATTTTCTCTCTTTCATGATACATGTAAACATTTACTGTTCCTTACACTTCACAGAGAAATGAGCTTATATTTTTCAGTTCTCTTAAAACAGCTTTTTCTTCCTTCGTTAAAGGGAAAAAACTTGTAGCTTTTCTTGCCTAATAGCCTCTGAGTAAAAGTAAAAGACCATCAGTGGGATGATATTCATGACAGTCAGGTATGTATAGAAACCCACGGGCTGATGTTCTTCATTAAGGCAAAGGAAAACATCTGGGTTATCAGAAATCACAAAGGCAGGTGTTGTGGTTTATGTCTAGATGTAAGCCCAAAGCCTCGTGTGCTCATAGGTGGGCTTGGAGAGGTGATTGGATCATGGATGAGTTTACAGCTAAATGTGATGTTGGGAGGTGATGCCTGTTGGGAGGAGGTGGGTCCCTGGCAGCATATTCTGGAAAGGTTTATCTCTTCCCTGCTCCTGCCGTGAGCTCTTCTCTATCATGCCCCTCTGGCATGCTGCCCTGCCGTGGAGCCAGTGGAATATGGACTAAACCTCTACAAACCGTGAGCCAAAATAAACCTTTTCTCCTTAGAGTTGTGTCTCAGCAACAAGAAAGTAGGTTTGATCCTGGGGAAGTCCAAATCCTTTGAGGACCCAATCTTAGCTTACAGTGCTAAAAAAATTCAATCTGAAAAATAATGGGGTGTGGACTGCAGGGCCCCTAAAAAGGAGTCAAGTCAGGATTCTCCAGTGCTACCCTGAAGCAACATTTGATGGCCAAGGGCTCCCTGTGCACCACAGAGGAGCAGGACAAATTACAGGCCGGGCGGAGTGGGCAACGAAGGGAGAACTTTAGTAATGCAGAGCCCAGTACCAACTGCAGGTCCATGCTGGGAATACAACGGCAATAATCACTGCAAAGGACAAGTTTTGTCTTTATAACTGGCTAAATTTCTCAACGATCATCACAAGAATAAGAGATTTTTTGTAGAACTCACAGGAATATTACAATCCCTGTAAGGGACCTTTCAAAGATAATAAAATACAAATACCTCTTGGATTTCAATTTTCCGTCTCTCTTTTCCTTTGCTGGATGGTGCTGTGTTATCCTTAAGGAATCTGGTTACCTCTTCCAGTTCCATCTTTGCCTCAGCGATATTTGGGTTTAGTAGCAGAACTCTATGGAGGTCAGTTAAGCTTTCCTGATAATTCTGAAAGGAAGGAGACAGAGGAAATAATTTTCAGAAAAGATGGACCCTGCCTTGATTAGCCTGACTGGCTGTGTGTGCAGGGGCGTCCCCATTAGCACCACTCTGCTGGGGGCCTGTGGGTGAGTCTGCCGCAAACACAGTAGAACCCATGACACAGCCAACGTCCGCTTAAAAGAAGGAACGCAGAAACGACTTAGAAAATCCAAGTTCCACTCTGCACCACCACAACCTTCCCTGCTTACCACGCAGTAGCATTCCTCTGCTGCATGAATAAATAAAACAGTGAACAACCTCATTATTCCCTGCTAGCAGTGAAAAGTATACAAGATCCTACCTAACCTTTCTGAGCTCCAGTCTGCTTGTTTTTCAAATAAAAATAAACAATTCTAATTTTCACAAGGCATGAATGAATGCATAAAATGAGTGGGTTAAAACATCCATGATGGGGCTGTAACTCATGTCTCACTCTCAGGTGGCTTGAGCCACCGGTGTACATGCACATTAAACCTGTCAGGGTTATACAGATCGTCATTATTACAGTATCCTCCTTCCGTAAAACCCTTCGGAGTCGCTTTACTGTCAAAAACAGGCTGCTGTCAATCTTTAATGTCACCCCAGTCAGACAACACACTGAAGAGGCGGAGGACAAAGAGCATCTCGTTATTACGATGGCCCCCAGATCTGGCAGAAAAGAGGGATGTCACCAACCCAGCCTACAGGGATGGGCCACGTTGTAGAACTACAAACTAGATCTACTCTTTGGTTAAGCTAAATTATAAGGAGGCAAGACCTGCAATGTCGTGTAACCTGGTTTTATTGTGGGGCGGGGCGCTCCAGCACTGGGGCTTGAACCCAAGAAACGCTGAGCTATTCCCCACCTCAGGCTCCCCACCCCTTTGGAGACTAGGTCGAGTCTACAGTCCTCCTGCCTGGCCACCGCGCCCAGCTGTAACCTCTTTAAGCCGTGATGACACATCAGTAACAGGATGCACTGGAGGATGAGCCACAGATAAGCTGAGCTGCTGGTTATACCACATTCCTGAGAGGCTGGGCGGAATGACGCACCCCTGCCCCCTGCCTCAGCAATGCACCACACCAAGAGCGACAGACATGTTCATAGGAATGATTTTAAATCTGCTCTGATGGGGAGAGGAGGTTGTTTTATTGTTTCATTTTGGTTTTTTGTTTGTTTGTTTTTGAAACAGGGTCTCCCTATATTGTTCAAACTGGCCTTGAACTCACTGTGTAGTCCAGGCTGGCCTCCAACTCTCAGTGATCCTCCTGCCTCAGCCTCCCAAGTGCTACAATTACAGGCATGCACCACCATGCCCAGTTCGCTCTAATTTTTGTTTTTTGAGACAGTATCTTGCTATGTAGTTCAGGCTAGCCCTGAAATGACAGCAATCCTCCTGCCTCAGCCTCCCAAGTGCTAGGATTACAGGCATGCACCACTGTGCCTGGCTTCTAATTTATTTTTTAAAAGGTAAACTGTTTACAAACTATAGTACATTGTGTACTGTTAACAAATCTCCACATACCTCTGTGTTACAACAGCACAACTGAAACCTACTAGGAAAAAAAAAAAACAAAAAAAAAACAGACATTGCTTAATGAGATACCTGAGTGTCCTACACAAGGAGTCATTCATAAAAGGCAAGGGAGTGAGGCAAAAGGCAAGCTGAGGAAGCAAACCCTTACCACTCTAAGCATTTCACAAGTATTACTTAACTCTCACAACCTATAAAATATTCACTTCCATTATTCCCATTTTTGAAAGAAGAAACTGAGACATAGAGAAATGAACTTTGGGACAATCACAGCAGCAGTTTCTGTTTAGGGGGTGATAATACAGTACGGAGGTCAAGGGTAAGGTCTGCAAATAAAGATCTGTGAGCTGCAGCCTTGGAAATGAAGTCCAACCTGCGGGACTGGACAGGGTCATTTTCACCCATTCAAGAAAGTCGGCCTGGAGAGCAGCCAGCGTGGTTGGAAATGCACTTCGATTAGCGCTAACCAAAGAGGCCAGGCAGCAGGAAGTGGGACAGCGCTAGGCAATGGGAGGCTCCTTCCCCGCAGTGGTCACTCCGCAGTCCCTGCGCACAGAGCTGGGAACACTGTGACACAAAGGACACACTGCTCCTATGACGGGACACGATAAAAAAGGAAAAATGAGCAAGTAACTGCTGGCTGGTGTGACGCAATTCAAAGCAAAGGTGGGGGATCACAGCAAGGGAGCGGTCACCTTTGACTGTGTCAAAGAAGTCAGAGGAGGAGAAGAAGTAGCCCTGCAGAGTGCGGGGAGGAGCTGAGCTTATACAAAGTGTGGTTTGGGCAGAAAAGGCCATAAATGATGCTAATAACATCCGCAGGCTTTCAGAAAACAACATTATATTTGTTGGTTATAGTATTTACTATGCCCAGGCATGCTCCCTCTGTAAAAGTTACAATTTCACAAGGTTTTTATTCTTTCGGTATTCTTCACCGTGTAGCATCTTCTATGGGCTGCAGCTACGGTACCCTGTCTCAGTCATCTCTATAGTAACACCACCGCCTGTGACCAGCACTCAGAAGCTGTATTTACCAGGTATTCAGAGACCTCTGAAGAACGCTGTACACACTTTTCAGAACGGCATGTGCACACACACCCCACAGAAGCCAGCTAGAAACAAACCAAACACTGAGGAAGCAGAAAGCAGCTGTGAGCCATGGGCAGGGTGCCTGTACCCACAGCCTCTGCCACGTTCCTCCTCTCTGTCACTGTGTGTGGGATCCATGCGCAGGTTCTTTTTTTTTTTTTTGGTGCTGGGAATTGAACTCAGACCTTGCACTTGCCAGGCAGGCACTTGTGCTGCTGAGCTACGTCCCCAGCCCCAGGCTCAGGTTCTGACCCTCATTATAAGCAGTCGTGGCCACTGAATACCCTGAAACTAAACTCACTTGGCACATACCGCAATGGACTGGACAGATAAAGTCAAACCTGAAAAACAAGCTACCAGCCTCATAGTCTAGTAGGATAGGTTCCTCAAATTTGTGATTTCTCGTTCTACATCAGAATAGAATTTCTAGAATTCACTCTAAGTATAAAATTCCAGTCCTTCACTAAGTAAAGCTTCTAACCTTTAGGCAGCTAAACAGGCTCAAAGAGACAGGTAGGCAGTACCCGAGTTTGGACATTGTACATAAATTCGTGAGTCACGTGACTCTATCATGTACCCAGACCCATTAGCTCTTCCGGTGGTCCTCATTTGGTCTAGGATGCAATGATACGGCAGCTCCTTCCCAGCAAAACTAGATGTTTCTCATTCAGTGATGGCAAGGAATGAAAAGAACCAACTCCCTTCCCCGAAGTCCATAATACAATGCACAAGAATGTCACCGTAGCTTTACTCATAACAGCCCCAAGCTGTCATCAGCTAGTGAGTACATAAACAAACTTCATTCACACAGCTCAGCCTGCAGAAGCAACAGTTCCAGCCACACTATTCCAGACACAGTGCCAGAGGGTGCGTCTCTGGGGAGTGCTCATTGAAAAAAACCCAGCTGCACACTACGGTAATGTCAAAAAGAAGCAAAATCACAGCGATACTTAATAGAGCCAGTGTGGTGGCACACACGTGTAGTCTCAGCTACGCCGGAGGATGAGGCAGGAAAGACACAAGTTCAAGGCCAGCGTGAGCAACTTAGCAAGAGCCTGTCTCAAAAGAAAATTTTAAAAGGGGTAGGGATATAGGTCACTGCTCCCTGAGTCCAGCCCCCAGTTCTAGATAGATAGATGATAGATTAATATGATAGATAGATGAGAGAAGTAGATTCATAGATACACAGATACATAGATGATAAGGTAAAGAGACAGACTGCAAAGGCACATGGGGTGCTTTCTAAAGAGAGTTAGGTGTTCTTTATTTTATTAACATGGTGGTTACAAGGAGAAAAACATTTTATCGAAAGTCAATATATGTGAATCACATCTTAATAAAATTTGATTAAAAAAATCTCAGGAAATGCATTCTCTACTATTTCTCTGTTTCTCATTCTACTACTATTCTCTGTCTTTCCTAGTGGCATCATTTTCTACATACATAAACATTCATGTGTCAAGATCTCTGTGCCGAAGAAGCTATGTAAGGAAAAGTGCAGTTGTACAACACCCTTTCTTCCAAACTAACACTGTGGTTTTCTAAGAAAAGAACGCATTCTGTAGTCTCATACTGACCGACGGCCCACTCAAGGCCCCGGTCACCATAAGCTTCCAAATTTTAGACATCACCAATGTCCACCCAGTGACCCATCTTCCACTTGGATGCCTTCCCCACACCGCCTCCGACCCCAATCTTTGTGGGAAGACCCAGCTGGCATTGCTGGTGGCTTTCGGTCATTCAATAACAAACTCTTTCCTTAAAAATGAACCTAACATCACTAACAAAATCCTTCGAAAAGCAGAGAATCACAATTTTTAAACTAGAAGGAATGTCAGAAACCATCCCCATTATCATTAGGGGTGAACTGTGAGTCTTAGCTGGAAGTGGTGGCGCATGCCTGTAAGACCAGCACTCGGGAGGCTGAGGCAGGAGGATCGTTGTGAGTTCAAGACCAGCCTGGGCTACAAAGTGAGCTCAAGGCCAGCCTGAACTGCACAGTGAGACCCTGTCTCAAAAACAAAAAAAAGAAAAAAAAAGAAAAAAAAGAAATGTGAGTCCTAGTCCAAGGTTTTAGTCCTGATTAACCCTAGTCCTGGCTAATATAGTTGCTAGGATTAAATCCCAGATAATCTCACCCCCATGCCATGACCCCGAGATTTAGGTTCAGGAACACCATCTGAGGTGTTCAGAGTACACACACCCAGGCGCACTCACCTGGAGCCCTTTGTGAGCCAGCGCTCGCCGGTAGTGAGCTTTCACGTTCCCGCCGTCCAGCCGAAGCGCCTGGTCACAGTCCCGCTTGGCCTCTTCAAAGTGGCACAGTTTCAGGTAACACAGAGCTCTGGTGTAGCGCAAGGGAACACGGTATTAGGAAAGGCACAGACAGCACACCTGCAAATTTAGGCAGCTTGTGAAAACCAGAAAACGGCTAAGCCTGCTTTTACACCACAGTTGTTCAACAGAAACCAGGCTTGTGTCACTAGCTTGCAGTAAGTGAAGGGGCAGCACTGGGGATACAAATGCAGACAAAATACAGCCCCTGCCTCTTCAGCTGGGGGAGGAGTCCTCTCGGAAAACCAAGCAGCCAGTGCTACCCGTCCTGCAGAGGCCACAAAACGGCTGTTAGGTTTAGTGATGTTTTTGGCAAAAAGTGGCCAACAGAGGAAAACGTATGAAAATGTACGAAAACATAGTGAGAGGCCAAGGTAAAGATTTACCTGAAATAGCTAACAAAATGCCTGGAAAATGCCTTTAGTCCTCCTGTCACTCCACACTCTATACACTGCCTTAAAAAACACGAAATCACACACACACAAATGATTTTTTGAGACAAGTTTTGCTATATAGGTCAGGCCGGCCTCAAACACACTATGTAGCACAGGTTGACCTCAAACATGCAGCAATCCTCCTGCTTCAGCCTCCCAAGGGCTGGGATTACAGGCATGCACCATAACGGCCAGACAGAGTGGTATCCTGCCCACATATGGTAAGATGGTTCCTGAGCAGGGTTCGAGAACCATCCACCTGTTCCTGCCACGTGCTATGGAAGATGCCGGTCCCTTCCCTCAGCACTCCAGAAGAAAGAGGCATTACTCCTCGGACACCATTCTAGCTCACAGGGACCTGGTAACACAGACATCAGGCCCCAGCCCTGCCCACCTTCTGCACAACTCCCGGCCACCTCTCTCAGAAATGCTCCCTGAGGACAACTTGCCACACACGTGCCTACAACCATGACAAAACATTTTCACAAATAATTAATTTTCATCAATTTTATTAATTAAGAAATAACCTTTTAAAATCATTGCTCTAAAAAGTATTAAGAAACATATAAAATTACAAAGAACTTGCCTATTTGTATAGATGCCACACTCCTTACTGTTAATCTTTAAGCACTCAGTGTATTTACTAAGAGCATCTTGATAGTTCTTGTTCTTTACATGCTGATTTCCTTCTTCCTTCAGGGCTTTAAACATTTCTTCATCTATGGGACAAAAAAGTTTTTAAAAGAGAAGAAATATTCATATTAGCACCTCTGTGTCTTTAAATACAGCTATAAATTAACTTGGTCACATACCGTGCTGGTCTAAATGGACAACTTTTAAACAAAATGAGAAGACAAACTGGATAAAGTAAAAATATATTATTATGAAACCATTGTTTTCTTTTTTTTTTTTTTTTTTTTTTTTCCAGTTTTTTTTCCGGTACTGGGAATCGAACTCACGACCTTGCGCTTGCCAGGCAGGTGCTGTGCCACTGAGCTAAATCCCCAGCCCTGAAACCATTATTTTCAAATTATAAAGTAAAATACAAATAATTCTGCCATGTTATGCATACTGACATGCCTCCTTTTCTCCCGGATTCTGGAGATTCAGAGGCCAGAACTACTTGAGAGAGGAAGAGAATCAGGCCAACCAAGGACACCAGGACATAGGTAACCATATGACAAGAGCTGCCGTCTCAAATATGGCTGCTTATGTAAAGCCACCACAGCATTTTACTTTTTCATTTATTTATTTTTTGACAGTACTCGGGATTGAACCCAGGACTCTGCATACAGTAGGCAAGCACTCTACCACCGAGCTGTATCTCCAGCCCTTTTTATTTTTGAGACAGGATCCTGCTAAGTTGCCTGGACTGGCCTTAAACTTCCAGTACTCCTACCTCAGCCTCCCAAGTGGCTGGTCTGACAGAAGCACCCCCAGCACATTTTCTGTAACCCAACCCACTGCCTCAGGCAGTACCCTGACAACAGTGTAGGGCCCTCCAGACCTTCCATGAAGCTGTAGGTACAGAGGAATCGGTCTTTGAAACATCGATACAAATAGCTTTAGTGTTCAGCTCAACAATTTAATGTCAAACAAACTCTTAACGCCTGAAGTGGACATCTACCTAGCGCCCCAGACTTCCTGCTATTTATTCATTTTTCCCTTTTAATATTTCTTCAGGTTATGATCTACTCAAGAGCTGAATTCTTTCTCCTCTTAGTCATACGGCTAACTTAACATTTACTTACACAATCAACACATGAACCAAGTATTGGATAGACATGCTTCCCTTTATTCATGGGAACTACCTCCTGAGACAGCTACCAAGGGCCTGCTTTCCTGTGCTCCAGAAGATGGGAGCTGTGAAGAAATTTTTAGAATGTTTTTTATTTTATTTTGAGACAGGTCTCACTATGTAGTTCAGGCTGGCCTTGAATTCGCTGTGATCCTCCTGCCTCAGCCTCTTGAGTACTGGAATTTCAGGCATGTACCACTACCCCGTCCAGCTTTAAAGCAACTTCTTGAAGCCACAGAGTTAAGAAGAGAGAGAAAAAGGCCTTAAACTCTCATGCCAGAGTTCAGGGTCCCTCTGTCTGCTGTATATGGAAATAAACACATGGACCAAGACACCCTGCAGGAGGAAAGCGCGCAAGCTCCCCGAAAACCTGAGACGCTGGCCGAGGCGAGGCTGCCGGAGTCCCCTTCTTGGCCAGGGGCGGCCTGTGGCTCGGGACACCACACTCGCAGCGGCTCTGAGGTGGGCACCGCAGGAATGGGTGACAGCTTCTCCCGCCAATTTGGTCCATCCAGCTCCATTAAGATTCTTGTTATTCTACAAAGAAAAGGAGTTTCCTCTATTGATCATGCAATTCACTTCTATATCAGCAAAATTCAGCTGAATAGTAAGACTGACAAATGCCAGGCTTGTGTGTGTTTCCTTGTAGAAAACTCATGATCTTAAGCTATTTTCTCTTCACATAAACTGTTTTCCAAAGGACCTTTTAAAGTTGCCACTAGCGATGTAACTTTAGACCATGTTCTCTCCTTCTTTTTCTTGAGATGGGGCCCTGCTCTGTTCTTGCCCAGACTAGCCTTGAATTTTAAATCCTCCTGCCTCAGTCTCCCAAGTAGCCTGGATTACAGGCACCTATCCCTGCACCTGGCTAAACCATTTTTTAATCAAAAGAAAAAAAATCAAGGCATTTTATATTTGTTTAAATTTTTTTAATATATGCACAACAAAATATTAATGTTCATTTTAATTTCTGAAAGAGTGAAATATAAAACTAAAATTTAGGAGGTCTAAAAGAAATATCCATGAGGATTCTGGATGCAGTTACTAAAGGGGTAACGTATTACTCTTGCAGATAATCAAAGCCTTTAGAAACTCCTTGCACGAGGTGCATACGGGGAGGACGGGTGTGCGGGCCCGGCGCTCACACTGCACGTGATTACTGTCACACTGCACGTGATTACTGTGGTTTCTAAAAAGACTGCCCCGTGGCTAAGCCCGTCCTTGTGAGGCTGGCCACTTGCTTTCTTCTCATCTGAATGAAGATGAAAACAGACTATTTCCATGTCTTTTAAGAGTCCTTATTCTAGGGGCTGGGGATTTAGCTCAGCGGCACAGTGCCTGCCTGGCAAGTACAAGGTCGTGAGTTTGATTCCCGGTACTGGAAAAAAAAAAACAAAAAAAAGAGTCCTTATTCTAAGAGTTCTTCTTCTAATGAGATTTACTAATGACCACCATAAAATTTAGGTTAACATCTTGAACTACCACTTTCTCATTATTTTAAACATCCCAAGCGTTACACTTAGATTTAAAAACAAAATTGAGTTATGCCTTTGGGATGAATGTGGCTTTGTAAAAAGGTACTACCCAAGATGGAGAAGCTTTACTGGTATTTAACAGAATACATCCTCGTTAGTTTAAGTCTATGGTTGCGTGTATGTTTCATGTGAAAAATTTTTACACTTATACATAGACAATTATAATACAACTACTTCCTTTTGGTTTCTTAAACTGAAATTTCAATAGCGATCTTTGGTATGATGACTACATCTCATCGTTTTATTATAAAAAATTTTTCTGAAAATTAATGTATAACCACCCACAACTGCAGAAGGATAAAAAAACTTTTGAAAAAAGAATTTTTAAGCAAAACCTATATTACCAGCAGAGAGGAAGGAAGAAGCGCTGAAAAGAGATGATATGTTACCAGGGAGGAAATAAGTTACTCAGGGAAATGTAACGTATTAAGATTCCTAGGGAGGAAGAGAGGAATATGGTTAATGAAAGACAGAAACGAAATAAGCACAGAAGCTTAAATTTGAAAACAAAAAGTAAAGTGCTGATACTTAATTTTCCACAATGAACTGAAACAGATGGAAGTGTAAATGCGAGATTCACAAAAAGATTAATGTGATGTTAAAAATGGATATTTTATATTTTTTTAAGTGGCAAAACCAGACAAGGCCTCTTCATCTGTTATAAAACAATGTATCAAGAAGAACCATTCAATTCAAAACAATGACTGGGACTTAAAGGTCAATTGGTATGAAAAAAAAACCCTTCTTGAGTACATATACAAAAACAGAACACAAACCTCAGAAAGTTAAACATGAAATCACCTTAGGGCCCAGCAATTCTACCCCCTAGGGTGTAGAGGAGCCCATGAAATCACCTTAGGGCCCAGCAATTCTACCCCCATGTGTATACTGAACAGAACTGAAATCGGAGACTTATCCATGAACATTCAAGCAGAGCTGGAAGCTAGAAACCACCCCAGTGTCCATCAGCCGCTAAGTGGGTAAACAAGAAGTGGTAGGCACCGACTATTCTTCAGACAGAAAAAGAGAAATGAGGTGCTGATCTATGCGAGACCATGAATGAACCCTGAGAATGTTATGCTAAGTGTCAGAAGCCAAACACAAAAAGTCATGCAGCCTGTGATTTTCTATTCAAGGGAAACACCCCACACAGAGAAACCCCCAGAGGACAGAAAGCAGGCTGGCAGGGGTGGGGGAAGGGAGCACGGGAGCGACTGCTCAATAGGTACCGGTTCCCTTTCCGGGTGAAGAAATGTCCTGCAACTAGAAGCAAAAGGAAGTTGCACAACCCTGAGTGCACCAAGTGCCACTGGGCCGCGCGCTTTGAGACAGCTGACTTTACGTCATGTGGATTTTATCTTAATTTAAAAATATATATATATAACACAGAAACTTGAGGGAAAGAGTGATCAGAGTCTCTCCGTCATATTTCTCCCTTCAACGCATCAGTCAATTACAAACCATTCCATCTCCCACTTGAAATGCCTTTTTTGATTTCCAGGTACTGGAAAATGAAGCCAAGCCCTTTCCCCTGAGCCACATCTCCAGCCCTTTATTTTTTATTTTGAGACAGAGTCTCACGAAGTTGCCCAGACTGAGCTTGAAATTGCCATCCTCCTGCCTCAGCCTCCCAGAGTGCTGCAATCACAGGCATGTATCACCATGCCTGGCTCTGAAATGTCTTTGTATTGGTCCCTCCTCTTGGTCGGATACCTTAGGAATCTTCCCACTTGATGTTTCACAAAATCCTCCTCTTCAACTACATCTTGACCTTAGGGAGCTCCTAGTACAGTGGCAGGAAAAGAATTTCACAAAAAGAGTCACAGAAAATGGGCACCTATTCCAGGTGAGTAGTGAAAGGTCAGTGTGATGGGGCATTGAGAATGGAAATCTAAAATGCCTCCAGGGGACAGGAAGAGTGGGTGGGTCAGGCAAAGGCATTTGCTGTAGGAAGCAAGCTCTCTCCTAAAGGATGAGATGGAGCCAACCAGAGCCAGCGAGGACAGGGCTTTCGGACACAGGGAGACGCCAGGCAGAGCGGAGGCTGCCAGCACTGTCGATGCCTGACTTGACTGGCTCCTGACCGAGGAGGCTACAGAAGCCTCAGGATTCAGGCTTGTCCCACTCCGCTACAAACAACCAACAGAAGCAGAGATTCTCTCACTCAAAATTCTGGGGCCGGGAGTTCTTTTGGTTTTGGGTTTTTTTTTCCCTAAAGAATTTTAAAATACTTGTATATAAAGTAGATGGAATGTAATCTCATGGGGCAAGGACTCCAGTCTAAATAAATTCATTTAAGTTTCATACATACCTTGTACACATAGCCTGCAGGTAACTTTGTAGAGTATTTTTAGTGCACCTTAATTTTTTTTCAGTACTAGGGGATCAAACCTAGGGCTTCTGCACTGAACTACATTCCTAGCCCTTATTTTTTATTTTGAGACAGGGTCTCACCAAGGTGATAAATCTCCCAGGTTAGGCTTCAACTTACAAATCCCTCTGCCCTAGCCTCCCACAGTGCTGGGATTACAGATGTACACTACCACACCTGGCTCGGTACACCTGCATTTCTTTTTTTTTTTTTGGTTTTGGTTTTTCTCCGGTACCGGGAACGGAACTCACGACCTTGCGCTTGCCAGGCAGGCGCTTTTGCCGCTGAGCTAAATCCCCAGCCCCTACACCTGCATTTCGACTATGACCTATCCCACGAGCTCAGGTGTGAAATTTTCTACTTGTGGTTTCAGGTAGGAGCTCTAAATGGTTCAGATTTTGGAACACTTTGGATTTCAGATTTCCAGAATTAAGGATGCGCCACCCATGGAGATATATGTATATCCCTTTCTTTTATCGTACTGAAATAGACAATTCTAGGGGGCAACCAAAGGCAAGCTCCAGGCACTGGCTGTCAGCTCCGCATCCAGACCTTTTCAGTGGTTTTCTCCAGAGTGGGCTGGGACCCCATGGGAAGGCAGAGCTGATTTAGAAAGTGAATAAATGCAAAACATGCATTCTCATTTGTACAGTTTTGTTCAAGGCCTGGCGCGCTACCTGCACCCTTCCCAGACCACCTGGAGCGCTCTCGCTGCAGCTGAGTGGCCCTGAAACACCCACACCTGACTGCCTAACACACTGGCCCTCCTGGGAATGATCTGTCCTATGTAACCTTTCCTCCTCACTGTATTGCAGTTTGCTGACTGACAGAGACCATATCATGTTTCTCCTTTGGCCTTTTTCATGGGGGAGAAGGGCACAGTCCACGAGGCCGGCACAGGGTGAAGCACAGAAGGGCTAATTCGGACGAATTGGATCCCAGGGTACTGCACACAATCGAAACATCATCCAACTCATAATTTTCAAATTTCACCTCACAGCAATTCATGAAGTCTGGAGACTATTTTCCTGGGAGCACTGAGGGTGCTGGGTATGGAGCCCAGGGCCTCCCAAATGCTACCCCAACTCTGAGGTCTTAGAATTCTTCCCTTCTCATCCTCTGGAGAGGAGATCATGAGGTAAATGAGACCCAAATGCTTTGCTACTTCGCCTCTAAAAACTAATACCCCTCTGAGTCAGTATTTACAAGGGCGTGTAACATCTAGCAGGGTGACCAAGACCTCCACACTGCCGGGGAAAAACAACAGAGACACTCACTTCTGCTCACAGAGGTGGTGCTGATGGACACCTGCTGCCCGGGGAGAAGATTCCACGTGGGGTGTTCACTGCACCTTTGGACTTTGTCCTATAGGTAGGACTAATTTATGACCCAGTAAAAACACCTTCCTAACGCCACAGGTACTTAAGCAGCCATGTGAGCTATTCTTTGTGTTATTAAAAAAAATATTTTTACTACATGGTAATAAATGGACCAAGAAACAAATATAAGGGTGCTAGAGGATAACTCCTAATATCTGAAGGGATAGTTAGAGATTAAGCTAGAGAGAGAAGCATTTGGTTTGATGGAGTGGAAAAAGGCACTCATTCATGGAAAGTAAATAACCAAGAACACGTTCACACTCTGACACTGTGCTGGAAGACAAGGGAGGGGAAAGAACACGCTTCCATTATACACAGCTAGACTTGAGCTAGCTGTCTGAGATGAGATTACCTGTTAATACTGTCATTTGCTAGCTGGACTCCAGAGTCTATTTGCAACACCGTCTTATAATCCACATAAGCCTTGCCGTACTGCTCTAACGTTTCATAGGCCATGGCTCGTCGCAGAAGAGGTTTCATAGAGAACGGATGGAGTTCCAGGGCTCTAAAGAAGACAGAAACACTGCGTATCATTTACTCTGAAAAGTAATTATACTTGACTGAATATATACCACAATCGTGGGCTCTCACATATGTACGTAAGCTATTATTTCATCTTGGGCGTGTGGCAAAACCAGAAAGGCAAACCCAGCAGCAATCAATTTCCTGGTTATTTTCTTTGAACCCAGGACCAAAGCACTCTGTGTTTACTCCTTCCCCACCGAGTCATGACTCCCTAGCAGCAGGCACCAGCCTCCTTCGTACCCTCACAGAGCCTGGCCTGGCCTCAGGCACCCAGCAGAGATTCACCAGATTCGTGTTACTGACAGATTACAAAGGAAATTCTTATCCACCTATGTATTTAATAAGGCAGCTTAGGACAGAACCACAAAAACTCGCATTATATTTTGAGAATCAGCTCTCTCAAACTTCCGACAGTTCATTAAGATTTACTTGCTGCAAAAATTTACTTGTATCCACAACAGATGAGATATAATCGGAGAACTGAACATACGACGACTTCTTGTAAATCATGCATTTTCCTCATGCATTGTTCTGGTCTCGAAAGTGTTTCCAACATCATGAAAGATGGATTTCAGGGTTGCGTTCTTTGGTTTTATTCACAATAACTATTTAAACCCAATTTGGTACTGAATGTACTTCATTATATTCTGAAATAAAATGTACACTCAGACTGTACCTACGCATGAAAATGATTGAACCCTCGGTTGTAACAAAATCCTGTGAAGCGACGAAGGCTGTGTGCTGGTATGACCTGTGCCAGATGGTCCACACCGAAGACACCAAATGCGTTCCCTTCGCCTTGTGCTATAAGCAGTTCATATACCAAGTGTTTCACTTGCCTCAGGGAAAGCAAGAGGGCAGCTTTAACTTTCTTTTCCAATACTCTTAAAAAATACTCTGCTCCTGCTTTCGCCTCCAGTGACTTGGCCAGGAGAAAGCATTCACAGGGCTGCTACACGCTGGGCCCTGCAGACTTCCTAATTGAACAACAAACCTCTAAGGTAAACACTGGTGTGTTCCCTGCGCAGGCGAGTACACTGAGGGACACATGGGAGTGATGTGTCCTTGTGACGGCCCTTTGGGGAATCAGCTGCACAAAGCCAAGCACACCGTCTGTCCTGAGTGCCGTCAGGCACATTCCCAGCCCTAAGTCAACACCTTGTCATGGGTGGCTCAGCAAATACCTCCAGACAGAATCCTTGCAACTGCGCTCTTCCCAACACGCACACTCACACACGCCACCCATGAAGGAAAAGTCACCTGCCACTTGAACTCCTTTACAACTTTCCACAGCAAATAGTCCCTCAACTGCCCTTTCGGGAGCCCACCTAGACTTGGTATCATAGAAATTACTTTACAACTGCCATTAAACCTAACTGGCTTCATTTCTCTGAAAAATAACCAAATTGCCCTGGCTTAGGTACTCTGAATGTGAGTGGTTTTAATGATCATCTTTGTGCTCTGCTGCTTTTTTGTTTTGTTTTGTTTTCTATAATAAATTGGTTCAGCCCAACGTGCTGGCACATGCCTGTAATCCCAGCACTCGGGAGGCCGAGGCAGGAGGATCATTATGGAGTTTGAGGCCAGCCTAGGCTACAAAGTGAGTTCAAGGCCAGCCTACATTGCATAGTGAGACCCTGTCTCAAAAAGACAAAAAAAAAAAAGTTTGTCTTACTTTTGTAATCAGTAAATGTCATTTGAAAATGAAATCAAGTATAAATACTAAAACACTGGACAACAGATCCTTGGGCATGCAGACCTGTCACCTGTACCACTGTGAAATCTAGCATAGTTGACAGCCGAGGGGAGGTTAAGTGCAGGAATGCAGACTAAATGTGTCCCTCTCAGAAGCGTGTAGGCCTCTAGTGCTCTAGGTGCCATTTGGCCAATCAAGATGTCCCTAAGAGGAGCCTAGCATCAAAAATTGGTAATATGAGGCATTTAATTTTTAGTATTTTATAGTATAGTAAATGCAAGGTGTTTTTCCCCCTTTAACTGCAATCCTGAAAATAAATATGAGCTTATAAATGGAAATTCCAAGGAAAAAAACCCATTCACATACCAAGCACAGAGAACTTTTAGGTCAGAGCTGTCTATTCAAGCTAATAAAATTAAGACCCTGGAAGTCTCCTAATCTCAAATCTGTCAGAAAGGAGCGAAGATAAGCAAAAGCAGAGTTGCTAGACAACATTCATTTGATTTAGTCTGTTAAATATCTTCGATGGAAAGCCATTGAAAGATTCTTGGGGTGGTTCTGATAACCCAAAAAGGATATCTGAAAAATGGGAAAAGATTTTTTAAGCTAAAAACAATTACAAGAATAAAATTTTCTAGGACAATTGTTTCAAATTTTCCTAGCCATCATCACATCTTTGCCTGTTTCTTCCCAAGGCCGAACACAGAAACAAACTCTAGGGCAAGGACAAAAACTAGGCATGGAACCCTCCTCATGCTGCCCCATCACTCTGACAGAGATTCTCCAAAGTATCCCGGAAAACCCTGAGATTCCTCCGCTTGTAGACATTTAAAACTCAAATGCACGCTTTTCCAATATATATAAAAAAGTCACTTTCACAGGCCGGTTGTCCCCTTCCCCTTATTTTAACTTTTGCCCTTTTTCAATGTGTCCAGCAGGGTACCACCTGTCTAGTAAAAAGACCTCACAGAACTCTTCAAAGAGCAAAGATAATTAACTGAAAAGCTCATGAGGAAACTTCCTAAAACATGTACAGTCTTTTGAGGGTAAAATGATAGTCACACTGCCTGCTAATAAATGATTCCTACTTGACAGAGATTTAAATGCATCCACATTTCAACACGCTCGCCAAGACGCATCCTGGCTTCTCTGGCATTGACACAAGTTGGAGAATCACAGCTTTAGCGTAAAACCACCCCCCACTGGGCACCATCCCCATGCCCTCCTGCCAGGACTCATACACCCGCTATCAAAGAAAACATCTAAGTTGGTCTGCCTCTAAGGAGGTCAGCACTCATCAGCAGGGCCAGATTCCTTGGCTAGAAAGCGCTGCTCACTTAAGGATGCCACACCTACACAAGGGACGCCCATCTTCTCCCCAGAGCCCACCTCTAACAAAACTAGCTGCCACGCTAGCCTCCCTGGGCATCAGTGCGGGACTCCCATCTCCAGTTTAGGTTCTTGCTATGCACTTCAGGCTGGTTTGGACTCACTATGTAGCCAAGGCTGGCGCTGAACTTGCTTGATCATCCTGCCTCAGCCTCTGGAGCCCTGGGATTATAAACATGAGCCACGACACCTGACTTTTCAATTTTCCTGGGTTACATCAAACGCAGTGAATTTTAGCCAGTCAACGCCTGCCTCCTTAAACAATCTCACCAAAGAACAGAGAGAATCCACTGTTCTCCAGCAGCTCTAACTTCAGGGTTTTCAAGTTTTAAGTAAAGAATCCTGATTTCGCTCAATCTAGGAAGGTCCAGTCCGAAGCGGCTGTATTAGAAACAAGACACTTGGGTTGAGAGGATGTCAGCTGCAAGTCACAGTGTGCCTGGTGTCTAACAAATGCACAAGGTCTTGTCAGTTACTTACAGGCAGCGGTACGTGGTCTAGGTTCCGTGGGAATAAAAAAAAGAACCCAAATTCATGGCATTTGTCAGCTTTTATGCTATCTACAAGGGTACCATGGTAGATTTCAGGCTACTATCATAGACAGTTAAATTAGGTAGAAACATCTAGGCAGTCAGAAAGAGCTGGGCCCTCAAAGGAGTCAGTATAGATACAACTGTGGGTGGAGGCACATTCCTTAAAGGCCAGACCTCAAGACAAAAGGAGTGACTACACCTACACACTCTCCCTAGATCCCCAGATGAACAGTGGTAATTGATGTTCTAAATAGGTATTTTGCCTTGAGTGGGGGAAAGTCCCATCCACTACACTTGCTACCTGACTTGCTTCCCCATTAGATCCCCACTTAATCAATATCACTTAAGCAACTATACTTGTAATCTTATTGGCTGGTCATAGTTTTGTCCCACCTCACACCCACCTTGTGATTTTCCATTGGATCAATGTTACCCAGGCAACTACACTTGTAATCTTATTACCTGATTATAGTTTTGTCCCACCTTGAACCCGCCTCACTTTGTGGTTTTGCTCTATAAAACACCCTTGAGAAGCGGGGTCCCAGGTGTCATCCACTCAGGACCCCCTTCTGTCCCTCTTGGCTGGAAGCCTTATGTTCCCAATAAATATTTTCTACTCTTAACCTCTGTTGTTCCTAGAATTCATTCTTCAGTTCTAGAGAATGTGAACTCAGTGTATCTGACATGCAGCAGGCTAACAGGTTGGGAGTTATATTTCCACTATATTATCTGGATTATTTGGGGGTCTTCTATTCTTACCAGTTTGATTCATCCAGCCACAAAATCCCGAACCTACAACAACTGGCTGGTGTAAGATAGGATGGGTTTGGCCACAATATAAATTATGTTAAATGTGAACATATAAAATTGGCCAAAAAAAATCCAAGTACTTCTTTCTAAACAGGAGGCACAGAGACTAGCAAACTTTACTCGTATCAGTAAACTGACAATGCTGATGAGAGAAACAACGACCTGGTCACCTTACAAACAGTGCCCACAAAATGTATGGCTCAGAGTAGGGCCTCTGAGGGTGAAAAGGGGCGACAGTTACTAATTACAGGAGTTCACCCGAGTAAACCAAGACTCCCTTAGTCAAACCAGAACAAGACATTTTTTCAAGATACAAGAGTAGTAGTACAAAGGGCTTCTGAAGCAGGCTCATTACTTAATGGTAAAAGCAAACATTGTTATTCGTGTCAATATATTCATCCATCCTGGCGGTAACGCACTGAGTACCATCGTGTCTGTGGTGCTTCAAAGGGACCAAAGCCCTGTGAGAGGCGGTTCCCTCTAAATCGCAAGGATTTTAAAGCCATCAAGACACACGGTGCTACAGGGATGATCAAGTGGCAATACAGGTGTTAGAGACCTGCGGGTGACCAGGGAGCTGGGGAGCAGGGATTTCAGAAGCAAAGATCAGCCAAGGGCAGAACCCACCTCCAGGAAACAACATGGTGATGAGCAAACGTGGTCCAGCGGTCCAAGTAGGAGCAGAAAGGGGGCGGGGCAGAGGAGTTGGTAATTGGCTAGGTGACAGTTCTGAGCCTCAAAGTCCTGCTGGAAGCAATCTGAGCACCATAGAGACTCAGGAGACGTCCTGCTGGCGCAGCACAGACTGCCACTAGCTCCTTGGCGTCTCCAGCAGTTAGGGGTGCACGAGGGTAGGGGCAATGCAAACAAAGCGTGCAGAATTTTCCCTGTCTTCATATGTGACAGTAGAGAATGATTTTCGCGTACTAATCAATCAGCATAGCTTAACACTCTTTTAAGAAGTTAGATCTTTATGCAGAGAAACAGGGAGGCTACAGAACACTGAAGCAGCAACGAGATCTTGACCAACCCCGAAAACGCGCGGTTTACCTGTTACAATCTTGAATGCAGCCGCTGCAGTTTCCTTCTTTTAGGTAACACGCCGCTCTATTTGAATATAAGATACTTAGCTCACCCGCACTTTCACTTCCTAAAATCACACGTAATTAAATACAGTTAAAACCCATCAGCAAAATCACATTTTGGCAGAATTACAAGGCGACTGCGGGCTCGGTGACACTGCGGGCCTTTCCCGCCCGTCCTGCAGAGGTCGTGGGCGCCGGCGGAACCCGC